CCCAGAAGCTGCACCTGCACGCCAGGAGAGGGAGGGAGCGAGCGGCCGGCGCGGGGTCTGCAGTGGGAGGGCCCCGGCGTGGGCAGGAGCCAGGCGGGGCTCGCGGCCCTCTGACCAGTGGCCTGCGGGGGTCACGGCCGTGGGGCCGCTGTGGGGTCTCCCAGGGCGGAGCCCCAAGGCAGCCTCTAGCGCCCTCCCCGTGCGGGTCTTCTGCGTTGTCTCCTCCCTGTTAGCAGTCCTGCCCCGCCCCCACCGTTTCCGCAGCTTAAAACAACAGCGCAAGTCGCTGTCTCTGCCGGCCGCCCACACTGGCCTCCAGCAGACGGTCCCTTGGTGTCAGGCGCCTCACCCAGTGGGCCCTGGTCCAGGACCCCCGTGCTGGACGTGAGTCAGCGGCCGCCCCGGCCGTAGATGCCGCAAGCCTGAGTTCCTGATCAGAGACTGTTGCCGCACAGGGGGCGGGACACCTGCCAGCTGAGCCCAGGAGCCCTGCTCATGGGGGCGGGGCAGGAGGGCCAGGGCCGGCCCCTGGCAGTGTGTCCCTCTCCTCAAAGGCACAGGCACGCTCTGCCAGGGACACATCCGCCCACTGCAGGCTGCAGGGACGTCACCTGGGGGGCGGGGGGTAGGGCAGTCGGGGAACAGGGGAGTTAGGGAATAGGGGTTCAGGGAACAGGGAGTCTGGGACGAGGGTGGGTCAGGTAACAGGGCACTCAGGGACCAAGACAGTCGGCCAGTCTGAGACAGACACACACAGGCCCCACCGCCGAGAGCCACTGTGCCATTTCCTAGGGAGCGCGTCTTTTGGGGGTTTCATCAGCACCCCCACTAGCCAATAGCACCCTCCCACACTTCCCACCACGCCCATCTAGCCCGCCACCGGCACCCCACTGCTGGGAACCGAGGGGATCTGATGCCTTGGGCCGGGCCAGGGGCCTGGAGACAGGCGGTCTGGGAGGGGGAGGCGCTTGCTGACCTGGAGAGAAGCTCCGCTCTGTCACTCCTGCCTGGAGGCCGCGGGGAGACCGAGCACAGACAAGGCTCCGCTTCCGCGGAAGCCGAGCACGGCCCCGCCGCGGGAGGAGGCCGGTCGGGGTTGAGGCGCCCCCCAACCGCCCCCTGCGACCTCTCACTGCTCCGCACCTCGCAGGGCCCAGGCTGCGCTGAACAGCCGCTGCGGCGTCTCTGGCTTCAGGCGCCCCCACCCGCCTGCCTCCCTCCTGCGCCCGACCCCAGCTGGCTCCCTCACACCCAGGCCTGCCCGCTGCTGCCCGCCCGCCCGTGGGCCCTCGCCCTGGCCCTGTGGCGTCTTCCCGGCCCGG